CTAGACACAGGAGAACTATTGTCGTGAAAGTGTTGTACAGTCGATTACGAATTTAGATTGCAGAGAGTTTGTTCTGAGCGCTAAAGGCACTCACGATAGAGCACATTTTGCTTTATTCTAACAAGGACGTTTTGGAACACTTTGGATTAGAACCACCAAGGACTTGGAACAAATACACACAAGGGGCGGCCGCGGTGCATGGCAAGGAATTCAATGGCCAAGAATTGTATGGGCCCTGTGTGTCCAGGCTTGAGGGAGATTATGCCATGTATTGTGCCATCTCTTGCTGAGTAGTATTACCCAAACAAGTGGGACCAGCACAGGAAGTCTATTTGATACCAAAGACACGAAACCCTTGACAGGAGAAGCAGTAGCTGAAATGCTTCGTCTCCATGAAATGCACAATCAATATGGAGCCACAGATGGTACGAGAAATCTTTGTTTGCCATCAGTAGTTGTCATTGTCACGAGTGTTTGATTCACCACCCTATGTCTCCTTCCATTTGTAGAATTTCAAAAGGAGGTCAACTGGATCAACAATGTACACATGAATGAAGGGCGGTGTGTTCTTACATACATGTGGGGAGACTTGTTCCGCAGATCCAATGCCAAGGGAAGTATTCTTCATGACAAACTAGGAATTGCGCGTACTCCAGGGTCGGAAATGGTATTGAATCGAGCCACGGGCAATCTGGAAAAATGCGCTCGAGAATTGTGTCCCTATGCCATTTACCATGAAGATATTGGTTTGGTCAACTCGGCCCCATATGCCGCCAACGGTGGCTGGGGGGCTGCCATTTCCGGCAATACTTCTCCCGAAAAACAAAAGGCCCTGGCAGATTTCTTTTTGTGGGCTGCCAGTCGAGATCAGTCGGATCAATATGTGATTCCCAAGTCCACCTTGCCATGGTACGAAATCAATGGACAGGATCCTTGGCGCAAGAGTCAGTTGGATGTGGATAAGTGGGTCGCTCAGGGATTCGACCGAGACTTGTCCAAACAATACGTCGAGTCAATCCTGACAAACTTGGTGTCCAAAAATGTTGCAGTGGAGGCTCAGTTTCCAAAGGCGGGAGAGATTATGAGTGTCCTGGATAAGGTGTTGCATGATTACTTACTGTGAGTCCACAATGGCGAGATTGCCGAGAGTGGCAAACCAGCAGAACGCCTTCGAGCAGCACAGACTCTTACGGACCAGTGGAATCAAATCATCAAGCAATACGATGCCAGAGGTGATACTATTGCTCCAATTTTAGAGATCTATCAGAGGTTACGAGGAGTGTTTGTGCCAAATGAAGAAAAGAACCATTTGGGAGGCGTTCGGTACATTGGCATGGCCTTGATGGTGATCATTCTTTGGTCGTCCATGGGCGCAGCTGTTTGGATCATTGTCCTTCGCAACGAGATGGTGGTCAAGGTTTCCCAGCCACTTTTCTTGGGATTGATATGCTTGGGAACCTATCATGGCCTGCAGTATCATCTTTATGGGAATTGACGACAAAATCACTAGTCAAGAGCAAAGTACTTTTGCTTGCATGGCAACGCTGTGGTTCTTCACAATTAGATTATACCGTTTGTTTTTCAGCATTGTTCTCAAAGATTTGGTGGTTGAACAGGCTCGTGAAGTCTGCAATGCGATTCCGACGGATCAAGGTGGATATCAGAGATTTTTGTCTGCCTTTTGCGGTCTTGATGATCCTGAACTTTGGGTTTCTGCTTGTGTGGACTCTTGCTGACCCACTGAAATGGGTCCGGATCAGTACGGCCGGACACAGGGTGGTGACCTCGAGTCCTTCGGACGTTGCGAATCATCAACGACAGTAGCCACAGTTATGTTAAGTCTAGTTGCAGCGGCGAATGTGGTAGCTCTTGTCCTGGCGAATATACAGGCCTACCAAACTCGAGATCTTACTCTTGCCTACGAAGAAAGCAAATTTGTCACTTTTGCCATGGCGTCTATCATGCAAGCATTTTTGGTTGCGTTCCCAGTTTTGTTTCTGGCGTACGAGAATACGTATGCGAGGTTTGTGGTCCGATCCGTTCACATGTAATTATAATATTCTTCATTACCTATCGGCATAACTGGATTTGGTCCAATTCCATCATACACAAATACGAAAGCAAAAAGTTCCGGTACGGGGAACTCGAACCCCGGTATCCTGCGTGAAAGGCAAGTTGCTAACCACCTACATCATACCGGAAGCTGACTGTTACCAAGAAACAATTAAATACAATGTGTCGTTTATTTGAGTGCGAATGGAATTACCTGTTTTGTCATTGACCGGTACTGTAGGTCCTACGATGAAGAGCTGGAAGGGACATTTTCACTATGAATGATTTAATTTTTTAAATGAAAACAGGCGGTATCTCCTACCTTGACAACAATGTGATATTATGAATGCGTAAGCTTCCTCTTTTGGCCCCGTTTCGCTTGATTGTGCTTGGCTTCTGCTGCTGCTGCGTTCTCAGCGGCACCCTTGTACCGCCTGACAAAATCTGCTACTTTGAATTTTCGTTTACACCCAGCATAGTTCATGAATCGAATCTTTCCGAAGATTTGTCTTTCTTTCCAACCCATGTCATGAATTCCCATAATACTCCAACCAACACCAACAAAGCCATTTGGGTCTCGACCATCCAAGGCATACTTGTCGTTGAAGTACTGCGCTGTCTTCAGTGCGACAGCAGGCGACTCGGTCCATTCGAGAATCTTTTTTGCCCAGTACATTCTCAAGAATCCATGCATCTTCCCTTCGTTGACAACTTGCATCTGTGCAGCATTCCAAAGATCGTCATGCGTCTTTGAGGTTTCCAAATCTTCCAACGAATAGGTATATTCTCTTTGATCAGTGCTGTGAAGCTCCAAACTGTCTTGTGCCCACTGCGCTGCCCCAGTCAACTTGTCGTAGTCATCTGGTGTGTAGAATAAGAAATTGTCTGAAAGTTCCCTTCGAATGAGCCCCTCTTCAATGAAGGAAGCGCTTCCTGTAGCGTAGCGATTCAATTTCTTGATTGCCATCATTAAGCGCTGGAAACTTATGTGACCATGATTGACCCACGGTGACAATCCCGAACAAATCTGTGTGTAATTGGGGTCATTTCGATGGGAATCAAACTTGGACAAACCAGTAGATATAAAGCTCTCAAATTTTGCTTTTGCTGCTGCTGACCCGGGCACGGCCCATTTCTGGGACGCAACCGACTCGTCCCAGTCCAAGAATGACTTCAGGGCGTCAGAGTCGTAGGCTTGAAGTTCTTGATCTTTCTCTACATGTTCATTCCCCTTGAATTTGGGGAATTTTTGAAGATAGTCAGAGACTACTTTGTGTATCCTTGGCCTCAAAGTACGTGCACCAACCTGTCGTTTATCCGCAGCATGCCAAACTGGAACAACGTTGTGCGCATCGACCTGCCACAAGGGGACCGACGATTTTTCACAGCTCTCGAGAAAGTCACCCTCCATCCATTGTCGAACATGACGAATAGGAGAAAAGTCACAAACAATTGCGCATGGTTTCAATTGTTGGACAATTTGTGACTCAATGGTACTGGAGACCAAACGCTGCGACAAAGGCCTCAGGGCATGAAAAGGTACATTCTTCTCTTTCAACTCTTTGTGTACAATTTCCAAGCCACCCAAGTAGAATTCTCCATGTCGTTGCGTTAGACGCAGGTTTTCCAAGTCTGGAAGACTTTCCTCTTGCGTTTGTGCCGGTGGTGGGGGTAACACATGGATGACATGAAGTGGTACCTTCTGAGTTTCCGCTAGATGACCTGCAAAAAGTAGCGCCCAGTTATCAACCGTTCGGACGTCCTTTTGCATCCAATAGACTACTGTATTTCCGTCCTCGTTCATTTTCACATCTTTCGAAGTAAGCATTCGGGTTCTTTCTTTCAGCATCCAAGAAGGAAGGTTGGCTTTTGGCACAGGTGTGTGTGTTGTGACATACGTCATTGCACTCTTGGAAACAGGAAGTGGTGTACACTTTGACAGACTGGAGAATAAAAAGATGGTAACGAAGTTTGCTGATCCTCTCTTTCCAAATCCTATTAGGTTCATTTGACAAGGAAGAACAAAATTTGCTCATCGAGGAGATGTTCTTCTCGTCATTTTATCACGGATGCTGTGTTTTGTTCCGATCTGAGTCATCATTTTTATGTGTGGCTGGTGATTGACAGACGCCATGTGTGAGAGTTGTGAGTCAGTCAGTCTACAGTCCAAACCAAAAATCTCAAACACGCAGTAGAAATACGTAAGAATAGTAGTCCACGTCACATAACAGGTCTAAGAAAGTACTTTGGCAAACTCCCCGTGTCATCGTGCAATTTCGTGGGTTTTGTACCAATCCATCAGAACAACAAATCGTCAATTTCATCATCAACCTTCCGACCCCTTGTTGACATCAACAAAACATCGGGCATCTCCACTTTTTTGCACAAATCGCTTCCTAACACATCACAGTAGTATAATATCGAAAAAAGTGGAGATGCGAGATGAATCCAAACGGTCAAAATCCACCAAAAAGTATGATGAATTTGATTTCACTACGATGGTAAGCTTTGAGGCACTTGCTGTTAACACCGACTGCAAGAAAATTGATGCACAGCTGACAGTAGTTGTATCTTCACATAAGCTATCCTGTTTCTATGACGTGATCTGGCCTCGTTTTTTTCTTTGGTTCCCAAAATGACCACTGAAGCCCACCATCAACGTCCAAAACAAAGAATTATTATGGTTTTGGGAGCCCACAAAGTCTCAAGGCACCAAGTACTTGAAAATTCCAGCAGAGGTTGCTTCTGGCGTTATAATGGAGGTCTTGGAATCATCTGGTGGTCGATATCAAGGTTTCATTGTGCATATTCTCCATCGAGTTCATCAAGTGGCAAAATTCGTCAAAAACACATCTATGTCATGGCATGGGCCCCACAAGAAGAATAGGTGGATTCAGATGCTACGGCAGGCACTTTTGATATTTATACTACGCCATGAGCCATGATTCAATTTAGGTTTTACCCCAATCATGCCACAATCAACAAGCGTTGTTAGAATTGTTTCGGTCAGCCTGCCCTTTGGGGTCCACAGAGGGCCACACATGCAGAGATCGCCGAGCTTCAAGGTATATTATGGTATATTGGTATCTGATACAACGACAGAGCATTATTGGTTCACTTTCTTTGTTTAATTTGGAAAGATTTTGCGATTTCCTTCCTTTGTTCTGTCGGTTCTCTGCCGCTCTGGAGGTCCCCCTGGCCGCCATTTAGACAGCTATCCATCCAACAACACACCAGGGTCTTTCTTGGATGCCTAAAGTTTAGATTTTTTGGGACCAAGGCAATGATTCCTCCTAGATCAAGAATCATGTGGCCAAACTGGTGTCAAAAAAATGTAAGTTTGTTGAAATTTCTGGAATCGTCGAATTGTTGACCTAATTTCCTCAATCTTCTTTATTCTGGCCCATTTTATTAGTCCATGGGTATATTTAACAAGGTTTGGCACCTTGGAATGGGAGATTTCAAGGTGGAAGTGATTGAGCTGTAGCTACTTGACCTGGGGGGTCAATTCGGCATTCAATCCAGAATTTCCCAGGAATGTGTCCCAGTCGCCGTGTCGGTAACCAGACACGGTAGGACCACTACAAAAGTGACCAATATACCTATATGTATCGACTTTGGGTGTTTTTTTTCAATGGTGCGGCAGAAATGAGATTTGTTGGTCTGGTTTTCTGTTGACCCGTCCCAACATTGCAGGAGCCCTGATTGAATGATTCGAAATTCCATGTATTCTAGACCGAAATTTGCAACTTTTGTTGCGTATACCACTAGTCTACGTAGATTAAGCAATAATACATATTAAAATATCAAGATTTGTAATCAAGACCAGGTCTTATCGTAAAGATGGAGGCCTTGCCTCTTGTAGTATAATTTCGGTTGGATATGTAGTCGATTAAGTCAAACTGGTATCCGACTCGATCGATCATGGCGTTCTCTACCACGCTACGGATTTTCCACGATATCCAGTCTGATCTTGGTTTGGACTGTACGGTACGGTATCTTCGTTTTCTGCAAAATTCAGCGAGCCGAGGCTCGCTTTTCACATATTTCACACATAACGGCGCACAGGCACTCAACGGATGCAAAAAGACGCAAATCAATGAAACAAGTATGGCGCTGACTCACTCCATTCAGCAACACAAGCGGGAACAAACAACCGTTGGCATCAGCCCTATCATCGCTGCCTACTTCGTTCCAGAGTCGTCAAACGAAACAACCTTCAAAACAGAAAAGAAATAGCTAGTTCTTCTTGTTGCTCGAGGATGTCGTTCTCTGACATTGGAAAGAGGAGGTTGAACAGAGCCCGTGATGAACAATCTTCGTTTGCCAAACCTCAAGCACGAAAACCTACTCCAACGCTCCGTTACTTTTATGGCGACACCAACGATCACGCCATTTTGGAACCAAGCAAACAAGTAGAAGAGGACTTTGCGAAATCACAACCACAGCGCGGGGTTCGGCCTCATTTGAATCATGTTTGTCCAGTGACGGAAAAACCTTTAATGGAAATGGAGTCGCCGAGAGATGAAGACACCAGCACTGTGACATCCTTTTCGTATGGATTTGATGATGCTGACGATGATGCTTCTTTCCCGGCTCCTGTGAACACAGCATCTCGCCCAAGACAAGCCGACTCGGAGTTTGCTCTATTGAACAAAGAAATTGTCAATTTCCAGGTAAGGACGTTTTGTGCGCTGCATTACCGTCGTATCCGGAACGAGGTATGATCATTTCACACTTGTTTTGTTAGAAAATGGTTGCGGACTTGGACCAAGCCATGGCAAAGTCAGCGGACTCGCCAGAAGCACAATGGAAAATTCGCATCTTGAGTCGGTCGGCACAAGAAGCCCAGCAAGACATACAAAATCGCCTCATGGAATTTGGAGAAACCAGTAGACGTCGCGATGATGGCCGAGGTCAGATGGCCATGAGAAAACTGATGCGGGATTTTTCTCGGGCACAAGAAAATTTTGGAGAAGTAACACAATCGCACATAAGAAAACAACAAGCAGAAGTGTCTCTTTTTCGCTCGACCGTACCGGAAGAAGGCGAGGAAGAAGAATTTTTTGATCGTGCCATGCGAGAACGAGAGCAGGAAGTCAACAACATTCATCAATCGATGAGGACGGTGAATGAGATTTACCAAGACTTGGCCGACATTGTGGACGGGCAACAGGAAAAAATTGACAATCTCGCCGACCGAGTGGAAGAATCCAAATCCAACACAAAATATGGCTCGGAGCAGATTCAAGACGCTGTCATAGGTATGTGTGCGCCTATGGAGACGGGAGATGCTGGAGATCATTCTTGGTCTGCTGCTATGGATGTTGTTTTCGAAATGGCGACCTCGTGCACAGAAAAGATGGAAAAAGTTGTCTTCGCTAGCGACGATGAACCTATAGTACAAAGCAAAGGTGGGAAAGACTCGAGTAAGGGAGGAAAAAGCTCAAGCAAAAGTGGTAGAAATTCAAGCAAAAGTGGAAAAAGCTCAAGCAAAAGTGGAAAACGCTCTATGCGCAAGCGATGAATCTATGACGATGCACTGTAAATAGCTAGGATCTTGCCCATTTCGACACAACTTGAAAAATATGAGTCTTTTGTGGACGTCATGTGAACCAGATACCTCACGAATCGTACTGTATCTCTCCACGTAGTCCAGCACGCTGGCAATGGCGGGGGAGGGGAGCTTTATGTAGACGCTGCCTAAGCTACAAAAATACCTTGGTTGGTACTGATACTATCTCGTCATTATGGGCGCCCTGCTACTGTACAGTAGGCTTAACCTCAATTGGCTGAATACCTGCAGTGCAGCTACACCTCTGAATGAATCAAAGAACTCGAGTGTTGCTTATGGTGTCTATACTATGATGGTGACTATTCCAGACTAGTCTCTACGTCAAATGTTCTCTCCTCATGAGAGGGTACCATGTGCGATGATGGGGGGGGGGTTGTTGGTCATAAGGAAGGAAGATCACCAGGTTTTGTCGTGGCTTGGAACAGGAAAGGATGATGCGTACTAGTAGATAAAGCACTGATCGCAGCCAAGAAGTCTTCAAGTTCTAAAGTATCATCGGCATGTTCGCGACATCAGAATTCACGAAGTCTGGTGGTCTACCGATTACTTGCAAACTTCTGGACATTTGAGGTTGAAGTTCTGAGGATTCCTTCTTTTACATGTGGTGACGTGGCGTCTTTTAAACTGATAAGGTTCAGACATTTGATCTATGACCACCATAAACAAAAATAGCCAGGCACGCGTCGTAGAACGTCGAGACATCACCGTAGTTTGCTCTACGTACACGTGTCATAGATGCATGATGCGTCATGGAACGGTGATCGATAAGCAAACCCTCAACAGACAGATCACCATCTCTCAATACGAAGAGCATTATTGATAATTACTCTTGTGCTACTAGTTGATCAAAAGCATACATACTTCACATCAGCCAACGATGGAATCCTCTGCAGCAAAGACTGATTCGGACAATAATAGCCAGGATGTTTCATCGGATGAAGAAGGCATAAAAAACATTGGCGATGGGAAAACCAGCGGCAAGAAGAGATCTCTGCCCGCATCAGAAGAGGAAAAGAAGGCAGAACGACGAGCTGCCAATCGACGATCTGCCTTTCAATCAAGGCAAAGAAGAAAAATTTTGATTGAAGATTTGCAGCGAACTGTTGCTGGACTCTCCAAGGAAAACACTGACCTTCGCAAGAGCAACGAAGACCTCCGCGTTCAGCTGAAAGCTATCCTTCTGGAAAACCATCAGCTTCGCATGCAGCAGCAAATGCACAATCCTAATGTTGGTGCTACTGATCTCATGCAAGCTTCTGCACTCCTCCGTGGAGGTGGCCAGAACTCCGCCATTGCTCAACTGTTGGGAGCTGGAGGAGTCGCTGGGCAGCTCGGAGGACAGGCCCAGCCCCCAGTCGCAGCGGATGCGTCCTCTGGAAATGCTCCAACAAGTGCTCCCAATGGGGATAATGACTCTCTATTGAACTCAAGACTTGCTCTTGTAGCAGCTCAAGCAAGAGCGGATGAGCTTGGACAGAGTCAAGATGGAGCCACTGCCACAGCACCACCGGCACCATCCAATGCTCCACAAGCGTCAGCGCCCCAGTCCTCCAATGGGAACGCTCCAATGTCAGGAATGGACCAAAACCAAGCCTTCAATGGACTGCAAAGTCTCTTTGATAGTGCTCGACAAGGTGGATTCCAAGGTTCTATAGGTGGGAATCATCAGCTGAACGTTCTCCAAGGACTTTTGGAAAACTCTGCCTTTGGCGGCGGAGGAGGAGGAGGAGCACCTGGGGGTGCAATGGGAGGGCTGGCTGCCCTGTATGACAGTATTTCCAGGAATCCTGGCATGGGCGGCGGTGGATTGAATGACATCCAACGAGCTTTGTTGGCCTGTGGGGGAGGAAACAATGCAGCAGGAATTGCCGGTCTGACGGCACCCAAGCCTGCCAACAACGGAAACGACAATACGGTTTCCGATGCCTTGCGAAACCTACTGCAAAAGAACCAGCCCTCGTAAGTGCACAATACTTACGTTTTATCAAGATCGTCTTTTTGAAACAAGCAAGCTACGAATAATAAGTATTTTAAGACGAAAGAAACTGTTTATACTGTACTGTTGAGGGATTGTAGGATTGACTACGTTACGGGAAAGCGGTCCAAAAGGGCGCTTCAGCGGCCTTGCTACTTGTGTGCTATCCCCTACCACAGTTATGGGCGTTGATCGTAACGCACTACTGCAGAAGGTACAACTTTTACCTTGCAGTAAATTGCTGAACGGAGTGGAGAAAGGTAATCATTTTTTTTAATACATATCTTTTCTTTTCATGCAACTGTATTTACAGTAGATTCAGCGATAATCAAAAGCTCTGATCTCTGATAGACTACAAATGAATTATCATGGCTAATATACTGTATGTAGCAGGGTTAATTCAAAGCCTATAATAGATGTATTGGATATTTACCAACCATCGAGCTTGGCTGTGTTCTTCCAGTTGGGGTGTAGCTGTCCCATATCCTTTTGCTTGATAACGTCATAGAACTTTTGAGTTTCAACTTGGCAGTTATCGTAATGATTCACACCTTCCCGACGGTAACATTCTATAACATCTTCACGAAGAAGGCGGACGGTTTCGTAGGCAACTTGTCGTTCACGGGCACGTTGTTCACTGGCCAAAAGAAACTTTACTGGGTCCTTTGCTCTTCCAGTCTATCAAAACGAGAATCAGGAGAAACAAGATAAGTGTGAAGTCGGCGGGGGAAATTGATGGAATAAAGTAGGGAAACCACTTACATCGCCAGGCCGTCCATGCTCCTCATGAGGATAGGGCTTCAAAGTTCCTTCGTGGAACTTGGGTTTTTCTGCAGCGCCTGAAGAAGCCATTGTTGGTTTCAATGTCAGTCTATTTGTTGTGTATCTGTTGTCGTTGTTGTTGCTGTATTCACGAACGGTCGACAGAAGGACCGCAAAGTAGAGAAGTTGAAAGTGTTGGAAATATTATTAGGTACCTGGTACCAATACCTTTGAAACGATAGTGGGGATATATCATGTATGGCTTTCACAGTTTCTGCAGATAATATTGGTACCAGTTTCCCATGCCGTTGTAGTAGATCGTCTTTAATAGATTGGGAGCAAATTTCATCGGAAGTATTAATCGCTTTCAGCAAAGTGCCGGTATATCATGCTTCAATTTATTTTTATGTTTTGCAGCATCCTAAACATTGAGTTGAGTGTCTTCTAGTCCTGATACTTCGGAGCGAACATCTCCGCCTGCGTACCTCCAGCTTCCATCATCACTATCGTAGAGGAACCGAGATTGTTCCTTCACAATTGTTTCTTTTCCTGTAAGGTCGGATCCAGTATTCTCCTTTGCTCTGAGTATCACCTTGAAGGTCATGTATCCCTCGTTTTCCTGATCAGCACTCGGCTCTTCGGGTCCAGCTTCAAGCTTAACAAAATCAAAAGAATCAAACATGCCGCTTTTATTTAGATCCTCAGCCCATTCAACTTTGTCCTCTCTGTAATCGCGGCAGACTGGATGCGTGGTTGCCATCACATGCTTGATGTTTCTCCAAGCAAAGGCACTGTAGCGAGACCTCAGAACATCTGTCATCGTCAAGCATGGTGAGCCTCCGTGAAATGGACCACAACACTCTCCATATGATTTCCCCGTCCCGCAAGGACACGGCCGCGACTCGGCATCTTGTGGTACCCGGTTACGAAACTTGCCCAATACTTCTTCTAAGGTTGGCGGTGGAGCCCCGAACCCCTTCGGTGTGCTCGCTCTTTTCTTGCCACCGCCCTTCTTCTTTGCAGCAAAAGCATAGCTACAATCGAGCGTGACTAGCAATAGGACTAGAGCGACAAAAAAACAGCGACAACTGACCATGTATGTTTGTATTGTCAGACTTTTTAAATGAGGACTGATGTGTCAGAATCTTCCTTGGCGACGCTTGATATTATCGATCGAGTTGGTCGATTAAGTCAAAACTGCAGGCGAAACCATTTTTTTGGTCGTTGCACCGCTACCACAGTTTATACCAATCAGGCAATCTACAGTATCCTATTAATGAAATACACCATGAATTGATAGATGTCAGTGGTTGACAGTCAATCAGAAAGACTGCTCCAATTCGTTCCTTCTTCCTATCAGCCCATCTGGGTTTGTTCTGAACAGCAAGGCCTCCATTTCAACTTTGTCAGTATGTAACAAAGCATCATCGGACGTGGGGTCGGTACAAAGTCGTTTCAAAGGAGGTGGTCCATATACTTCTTCAATAGCTCTTTCATCCTCCTCTACGGTGTCCAAGGGTTCGGGCTCATCTTGGATGGTCAATAGTGGATTTGGCGCCCTTTCAGAAAGTCGAGGCAGAAAATCAGGATAAGCTATTCCCTCCAAGATGGTGCGTTCATCCTTCTTATAAATTTCGAACTTTGTCTTCCCCTTTCGGACCACAACAGTTGCGGCCTTGCAAACATTCCGCGGGCAGATGATGGAGCGGGTAAAGATCAGACGTGGTTCTTTGTCAGAATCAGGATCAGTGACTAGTATCACATATGTAAAATCATCGCCAGAGTCAAGACTGAATCCCAGGAACCTTGCTTTCATCACCCTCTGTCTTGGAAACGCTCCTCTCGGAGTGTAAAACCATAGAAAGAGAATCTACATTTGCTTATATCTGGAACACCTCCAAATTGAAATTCCCAAGAGGTTCGGAAGCGTAGCGATCTCTTGGAGGTTCTTGCTTTCACAAAAGCAATGTATTTGACACAGTCACACCAAAACTCAGGAGGAGCACCAGTAGTCAACAGAATGTGTTGGACCACATGTTTCAGCCTTCCACCTCTTGGCTCAGCAAGGTTCTGATTTGGGTGGTGCGGTTCAGTGTGTTGGGATATGACAAAATATGAGTTTTTACGTTCCGAAAAGAAACTATTCAAGTACAAAGTTTTCGACACGTACGATCGGACTTTGATCGTAATGTCAAGATTCGCCGCAAGTATGCCGGACGCAAGTCTGTCGGACAATCTACATCCACACAAAAAGGGAATGACCCTATACAAGTGAGATATCGATGTTGTGTACAATGCAGTAGGGAACAATACAACATATGTCCCAAAGTACTGTATCCAACACAGAATCGTCATAGAGGTCGAATCAAGTTCTGTAAACAAGGGATTTTCCAAGCAGGAGAACTGTTGTCGTGAAAGTGTTGTACAGTCGATTACGAATTTAGATTGCAGAGAGTTTGTTCTGAGCGCTAAAGGCACTCTCGATAGAGCACATTTTGTTTTATTCTAACATTCAATCACAAAAGGCAACAAAACAAATTTACGTCAAGAACAGCACTGCCTTATCTACAAAGGAGTGAGTGATTCGTTGACAATGGGACGTTCTTCATCCGGTGGTGGAAGAGGA